CTGTTTGCTGTGTTTCTTAGGAGGTTTGTGAAGCAGGACTTTAAACTGAGGCCTCTGAGGCTTTGGTTTAAATCCCACAGGAAGGGCGACTCTCAGGGAAACTGGTTGTGGATTTTAATCAGGAAGTGATGCAGTCATCCTCCCACTGGACGCACTTCTGCTCTTTCACATAAAATGCTTGTAAAAAGTGAGTAAACGTGTTAAAGTGTCCAACAGGCGGGAGCTGCTGGTTCTCATGTTAAACCATGGAGACGTAAAGGTAGCGAGATGCAGATGGACGTCCTCCTATTTCTGCAGCTTGCCTAGTTGCCGTGGAAACCTGGCTGGATGCTTGAGTTCTCTGAGCAGAAAAGAAAGCGAGGCGACCAAAACCAGCGAGACCCTTTTTGTTTTAGTGGGAACCTGATGGCGGGCGCACACTGCAGCCCAGCGGGGCGGCTGGAACCGGGGGCCTTTGTGTCTGACTCCCTCTCAGGGTGCGGGACTGACTTTGCTTAAGACAAGGGCCCCTTTGTTTTAAGGCTGTGGGGCCGCGGCCGGCCCTTTAATTGCTCTACTTAGGCGCTGCTTAGCATGAGAAAAGTCGGCCCGGCCCGCAGAGCGCTGCCAACTTTTGTTTTCAGCAGACAGAACAGGTTCGCTGATGAGAATTCAGATCAGGAGGAAAGAGTAAAAGCAAACCCCCCCCCCCCCACACACCCCCCCCCACACACACACACACACACACACACACACCCGGAGTCTGAACACGCCTCAATCACGCCACACGCTAATTACTCAACAAGGAGCTGGGAAAAAAAACACGTGATCTCAGGGAGGACGGAGACGCAGCTTCTTTTCCTCCAACAAACTTTCTTTGAATAAAAAAGATCCGTCTCCCTGAATCGGCCCGGACGCCACCTGTTGCTGCAGGAGTCCACCGTGGGGGGGGGGGGCTCTGAGTCGCTGCTTAGCGAACAGAGAAAGGAGATGATCTGAGGTCAGCATCTCCACGCTGAGGAACATGGAGGCGCTCTCATGGAGGTCACAGCTGGCAGCGCTCAGGTAGGATCCGCCTGGAATCGATGCTCCTCCTTCCTCCAGGTTTCATTCCTGGAGTCGCCTTGAAATGAACAGGAAAACCAGGAATGATGGGAACCAATCACAGAAACTAGCTGTAAAGATATTTAATAAAAAAGCTTTTCTTCACCATCAAACCGGCGCCAAATAAACGTCTAAGAATCACAGCATAGATCTTTATCAATGCTGTGAAAAGAAGAACTGAAGTAGAGGAAAACATGTGAAAGTAAAGCAAACCCATTCGTCATTTAATTTCAGCTTCTTCCTTTCAAACGTTTCTCACACTCAGATGATTCTAGATGTTCAAACTTCATTTATAAACTCTGCAGGCCATGAATATTAACCTGTGCCAGAGATCAGCTGTTAGGCAGGGTGGGGGCTGTGTCATGCTGTGGGACTGTTCTTTCATATGTTTGATCCTTCACTGAACTTTGTGCTTTTTTCTTTTTATGATCTATGAAATGAGTTAAAGTGAGGCTGGTTGTAAACCAAGGAGGTGGCTGCATCATGCTGGGGGACCTCTGGTCCACAGGACAACAATAACTGGTTTTCTTTGAATCAATCTGACTGGATGATCTGGTGAACTGGAAAGTGACCTAAGATGACATGATGTGAATTGGATCTATAGAAATAGACTGAATAGAATAGAATTAACTAGTAGATGTTGGACTCATCGTTAGTGGGTGGATGATTATGTTTGAGGATCTGTTCTGTCCTGGAAAAAGGAAACGTTTCTAATTAATAGAAGCTCGTTCTTGATGAAACAATCTGCAGCTTCAGCATCTAGTGCTTTTAGATCTAGGTTTTGACCCAAAAGATGTTCAGAGGAAGTTCTGGTTCTTCAGGATGACTGAGAAAAGTCCGTCTGGATTAATTAGGTCTCCGTCTGTTTCTCTTCCATGTTCCAGCAGCCGGTTCTGGGCGGGGAGCTGGGTCTGGGGAGCCCCAGCGCGGCGTCGCCCACCAAGCCCGCGGGTCAGTACTACCAGCACTACGGCGCCAACCCGCGGAGGAGAGCGCTGCCCATGGAGCCCATGGGTGAGGAGACGTCTGCTTCCTTCCTGCTGCTGATCCATTTGATTTCATGGATTTCTGATCCAATCAGATCATCGTTTATATAAATAATAATCAGGTTTATCAAACACTGACTTATTTGTTCATCTGGTATTAATCAACATTTAGTTGATTTATTTATTAGATTAGCAATAATACTAATAGATGAAAAAATTATCTTTTATTAAAGAATAATATTTTCTTTTATTTATTGATTTATTTTCGTTTTAAATTATATCATAATTTGGTGAATAATTGTTTATGATTAGCTTTAGCATTTAAACCTGATTTAAAATCTTTTTCTAGTTTGAATTAAATTTATTGTAGTTAAAGCAAAAATGTTTTTTTATTCAGTTTCAATAAAATGAATCTCTCAAAAATATTAGATTGAAATGTTTTTTTTTTTCCATAAATAGCTGCCCTTTAAATAATAATTTTTTTGTTTAATGCAGCCTGTTCCAGTTTAAGGGGTTAAAGGTCATATTTCCCTCCTCTGTAGCCAATCAGGGAGCTGCGGTCATGGCGGCGTTTATCCTGGGCGTGAAGCCGGGCTGAGGCGATGATGCTCAGCCTTCAGCTTCAGCCTTCAGCCCCCCCCCCCCTGAATTAATGGCAGCGTCTCCTTGAGAGAAACCCTGAGCGCGCCGCCGGCGGCCTTTTGCTGCTCTCAAAGCTTCCTTTGTAAACATGGTGACAGCGGCGGGAAAAGAGGCGCTAAAATAAAAGCTGATTCTCTTGTTTTTATTTCTCTTCTCTTCCAGAGGTCCACACTAAAAAGGTGCGGAAGGTCCCTCCCGGCTTGCCGTCCTCGGTAAGTGATGCGTTCATGTGGTTGTTGTTCTGAGCAGAAAAAGGTGCTGATGTTGTTTCCCTGCTGGGTTTCCGTAGCGACAAGGTGACGCGTTTCTCTCTGATGCTTTAATGCTGGAATTTAAGGTGTTTTAGAAATTATGACTAAATATAAAATAACAAAATAAGAGCCGTCTGATGTTTAATGAGGAGATTTATTATTTATTTATCAGGAACATTTATATTGAACAAGTTTAAAACTACGGGAAGATTTAATGATTTTAGTTAAAATATTCGGATAAAAGCTCTTTATTTCCTTCTTAATTTTAAACATAATTCCTTTTTTTATTGTTTTTTTTTTTTCCTTGATTTTTTATCCATTATTTCTTTTTTTATGATTTTATCTTTTATTTAAGAGTATTTTATTTTGTACTTCTACACTTTCTTTTTCTATTTTCCGTTTTTTTTTAAATATATGTAGTTTTAGTATTTCACAGTTTTACGATAAATTCAATTAGCTTAAAAACATTTTTAAGTCTTTTAAGTGTTTAATTTTTGTTTTGTTTTACAGTTTTAAGTATTTTTAGTATTTTACCATTTTGTTTGTCACAGTTTTTTTTATTTAATGCAGCCATTTCATTTTACTCTAATTTCCCAATGTCTCTTTTATTGTCATTTTTTACAGTCTTTATAGTCGGTAATAGTTTCTATGGTTGATATTTTATTTATTTATTTATTATAGTTAATTAGAGGTTGGTCCTTCTGATTTTCTTTGGAAGTTTAGAAAAGGTTTTCCTGTTTTTTTCCCCTAAAGTTTTCTTTGTGTTTTCCTGCTGTTTTCCTGCTGTTTTCCTGCTGTTTTCCTGGTGTTTTCCGGGTGTTTTCTTGCTGCTTTCTTCTTTTTTTCCTGGTGCTTTCTTGTTTTTTTCTGGTGTTTTCCGGGTGTTTTCCTGGTCTTTTCCTGCTGTTTTCCTGCTGTTTTCCGGGTGTTTTCCTGGTGTTTTCCTGCTGTTTTCCTGCTGTTTTCCGGGTGTTTTCCTGGTCTTTTCCTGCTGTTTTCCTGCTGTTTTCCGGGTGTTTTCCTGGTGTTTTCCTGTCTTTGAATCCAGTAGTTTTTCTGTCAGATGTCGATGGGATCTCCTGATGGCTGCTCTTCGGCTGAGCCATCCTCAGCTGCGGCTCGGAGGCCTGAAGCTCGGCCAACGTTCCGATGTTGCTGCTGCAGCAGCTGCTGCTTGGCTTTTGTTTCGGGGTTTTAGCCTCCATGTTTTCCTGCTCTGCGGCTTTAACTGCAGTTTGGTTTTTTTATTCTTAAACGTCAGATTAAACATTTCCTCCTAAAGTTGGTGAATGCTGGTTTTCCCTGTTATTGGATTTTGGGAGCGTTCCTAGTTAACGGCTCGTTAAGGCTGGCTGAATTGTTTCGGGGGGGAGGCCATCATGTCCTCGGCCTCCCTCCCCCCTCCCTGAGAAGGGGGAGGAAGAGGAGGCAGAGAGACGAAGAGCGTGGATCTGCTGTTTAGGAGGCAAACAGAAATCAATGACCTTCAATGACCTTCAGACATGGAGCTGCAAACTAAAGCTTGATTGGAAGGACGATGGATTTCTCTAAAATGGTGACCAGCATCGTTACCGCCGCTGCTCAGCAGACTGAGCATGTGCAGAAACTCTTCCTCCTCTTCCTCCTCTTCCTCCTCCTCTCTGCTCGGCTGCAGCTTTGCACGGTTTTGGGTCGAGGTTTGTTCCAGGTTCCAGGTTCTGCTCACGGCTGGAAGGAGTAGCGGGCGCGTGAGGAGCTCTGGTTCTGATCCGCCGCCCGTTGGCGGGAGCCGCCGCCGTGCAGGGGAGCAGAAAATAAAGATGGTGGCTGGGTTCTGTAGAACCGGCGGTTCTGTTCTGCTTGGTTGGTTTTTTTCTAGAAGCTGTAAACTTTGTAAAGAGGAAGTTTGAGCTCCGGCTGTGTTTTAGTTCTCAGTCTTTTATGGAGGAAAATCATCCAAACTTTCCTTCTGTGACCCGATGATTTGAAACTGAAACAGATAATCTCAGCTTTATTAATCTGAGATAATCCCAGAGATACAGACTTTATTCTCTCAGCTGACCCAGACTGAAGCTGCTTGGATCATGAGAAGAACTCCATCATCAGCATCAGGCTGGGCAGCATCTCCACAGCATGATGCTGCCACTGCCGTGCCTGCAGTTCTAAACGATCAATCTGATCTTTGACCAGATCTGCGTCTCACTCCTGTTTCCTTCATTTAAAGAACGTTTCTAAACTGTGACACGGCGTCTCCTCAGCTTGGTGCAGTCTAGCTAGTTACTGCTAGCATTGGCTACGCTCAGTGTAGCAGAGTGTTGTTAGCATTTAACATGCTAACTTTTAGTAACGTAGCTGTCGCTAGCTGATGCGTACCGTCAGTGTTTTAAATTAAAGCATGCTAACCAACATGGTAACAATGACTTTGCTAAAGTTCTATTCCTCGTCTGATGTCATCTTCATATTGCGCCGTGTTTCCCTGTATTTGATTATCTTCTTTAGATTTTCAATTAAATTAAGACAAAATAACGACCGCATTTGTAATTATTTGCAATCAAAAATAAAACTGTATTAGCTGTAAACATTGACC